AGGACGGAACTAAAATCTATTCAATATAAGTCTGCGACATATTATATTGAATAGAATTCTGTGCTGTCATTTATATTTCAGAAAGATGTTACACATGGTCATTTCGATTAAAGATGCATCATGCAAGATTTAGATAAAGAGCTGTTCGTTCTTATTATAATAGTTGAAATATAGATAATGAATACATTGAAAATTGCATTCAAATTACTTCATTCTGTTAAGTACTATTGCTACGATAATAAACGTAGTCTTGATTTTTCATTTCACCATTTAATGAAGATATGGCAGACATTTTCTAAATCCACATAATACCTCACCGATCCGATGATCCTAGCGAGTTGATTATGGACTTCTCATGTTAATAAATGTTTAAATAATAATTTATATAACTATTAGAAGCCAAAAAGAATACCTGCAATAGACAGATTTAACTTTTACATAATTCATGTTGAACTATCTAGATTAGTCATTGTTTTGCTCAATCTCTCTGCCTAAGGCCCGATCAGTGGTGTATGGGGAACTTCAAAAAGTAGAGTAGGGGTGGACAGGCACAGATCATTTGCGTTGATCTTGCTACCCTGATTCTACTCATTTCATAATTTTAACAATTTCCAGAATATAACAGCTTTGTGATGAGGCCTTAGGCCTGTTAAGTGGTATTTTGGGGACTTCCAAAGGGGTGATGAGGTGTCAATACCTTCCTCCTCCGCCTCCCCCCAAAATAGCATAGCCTCGTCCATTCCCACTTATGACACATTAAACAATTCCTTTATTTATTTTTCATTTTACAAGTCCACATCAGATTATTTTATTTATTCATATTTCTAATATTATGTTGTAATATTTTGTAAAAAAAAATATTATGAAATAACAGATAATGAAAGTCTGAATGTTGCAATATATAATAGGAAATGTGAAGTTGTTCTTTGACAGAATTCTTTTTTAATATTCAACATTCTTCTAATGGATAATCTTTAAATTACCATGAGTGTTACATGTTAGTTTTTTTCATATTTGAAATGGAAGCCAGTTCTTAGTTTGCAAGTCAGAAGTCTGATCATTTTTCAATGTTTTGAGAAACTCAAAGACCCAGGGTTACGTGGCCGACATCCGAGATTCACAAACAGTTAGACCAATGAAAAACGTTTTGTTTCAGCTTATGAAAATATTTGTACATCACAGATTGATTGGTTGGAAAACATCAGTGAGAAAATACTGCCCGCAAGATAATCGTACGTTCCTGAATGAGACCAGTATCTTGTGGTAATATTTCTGGCAAGTTTGGATCTTGTATGTTCTTGTGAAGTTTGCGACTAAAAGATTGGCTAATTAATTAGATTTCGTACTAAGTAACTACTGATACTGGCATCCAATCAAAAATAATCTTTACTCCAAATACTGGCAGCCATATTGGCTTTCTGACTTTGATTAAAAGAGATGTTATATAGTTCTAAAACAAGGACTAACAGCCCATTCAGACGCTTAAGTTGAACTGGTTTAAAACGCCTGTCTGAACGCAAATGTGGGGAAAATAAACCAGTTTAAAAAACCCAACTCGCGACCTGTCTTCGAGAAGACTTTATTTTAAAATGGTTCATCTTAGCCGTCTGAATGGGTTGGCTTAAAAACCCCGGTTCCAGCTCATGACCTGTCTTCGAGAAGGCTTTATTTTAAAATGGTTCATCTTAGCCGCCTGAATGGGTTGGCTTAAAAACCCCGGTTCCAGCTTGCTTTGAGCATGTGCAGTCCACAGTAAGTTACATTCCTGTGAAAATATCGGGGTCAGACAGTGCCAATGTTATCAAAAGCGTGCGAGAACCGAATAAAGAATATGAAGCTACCCATGCGTAGTTAACTTGAACCTCCGACCGCAGAGGTCAGAATAGTTAAACTGGTTTGGCTTATATAGTACATGTGAACGCAACAAGATGCTGTCTTAAAAACACCAGCGATTATGAACTGGTTTAAAAATAATCGTCTGAACGGGCTATTAATGTTCTCTTTCATTTTTATATCATGTATATCATGTAAGTGTAATGTGTTTTTCATATGCTAAACACTAAACATTGTAATACAAATTATATACTAATCTAAAAACACGGAGAACCATGAAATTACATATATATATATATATTAATCCTAGACATGTCATTTAAACAAATAATCTGAAATCATGGTGAACTGCAAAAAGCAACACATTTGTATATGTATTAATCTTAAACATGTCATAAAGTAACATTTCCCATACTGTAATCCATTAGAAAATTGAAAAAAAAAAAATGTTTTCTGCATTTAACATGAAAGCATTTGGACTCGCAGATAGTTCATTTATTGTTTCAAGGGAAATGAAATGAAATGGGGTTTAACGTCCGTCTATTCTGCCCCCGAACTGGGCTAATGAAGACAGGCATACACTATACAGTGTGCTATGAGGGAAATTTTGCCCGGAGAGCGGCACTACAGCCTACTCTTATATTGAATTCCAGCTGTCAAGGGATCTTTTACGTGCACGCCAATATGTACATGGGACCTGGGTTTTTCATACCATCCGAACGACTAGACATCTGCCTTTGTCAGGCCCTCCGTCCTTCATCACTGACAAGGAAGAACCACGCCGGAAAATCTGGATGAACTTTCTCAGCCAATGCAGGAATCGAACTCCCGACCTCCAAGCTAGCGAGCCAGTGTCTTACCCACCTAGTCACCTTGACCCCCTTATTGTTTCAAAGTTTAATGGATTAGACAATTTTTTTAGATACACATGTAATCAGATTGTTACATTAAGACATTGAAAACTTATATTTTTTAAAGTTAATGTTGAGATTGATATACTGATATGGTACTGTATATATAAGCAGGCCTGTAGCCAGCTCGCTAGCTTCGGAGGGGCAGTGAAGTTTTTAGGGGGGGACACACCTGGCACAGTCTACAGTAGGTATTTTAGAGCTATGGTCGGCAAATTTCTTTTCGTGGGGGGGGGGCAAAACATTTTTTCGGCGGGGGGGGGGGGGGGAGATTGGCCCCCATTGCCCCCCTCTGGCTACGGCCTGTATATAAGTAAGGGAATATACAGAGAGTATTAGCCAGACACTGAACCATGTACAGATTGCTCAAACAGAAACTAAAACATTGGCTATTATAAACCTTACAGATCATGCCATGATGAATGGCTACCAAACAAGGAATCTTCAATATTACTTTTTGTGTGGCAAAATACTATCTGAGAGATGACTGTATCTTGTATCAATCATCATTACACCATCAAGGGTGAGAAATATTACAACATGACTGATAAAGGTGAACATGTATTGCAGTTCTTTTAACTTGACAAGAGTAAATATGGATATTAATTGGCTCCAAACTTACAACTGTTGTATTGTTGTATTTGTTTGAATTATGTAGGGTTTATTGGGGTTTATATCTTCATTAACATCACTTCACTTCAAAAAATAAAATCTATATCTACAATCACTTCAAAACCCAAATTCTCAAAAACGTAAAGCAGCATTTTGTCAGAAATTAGTACTCATTTTATCAAAAATTAGTACTAAGCCATTTTGCGATATGAGTATCACACAATAAAAGCAGTTAATTTTATTTAAATTAATAAATTTTACCAATATTATTGAACCAATTATTTTAGGAGTATAACTAGAAACCAAAGAAATCAATGGGGATTGTAAAAATTTGCTTTAAAAAGCAGTTTTTATTTTATATAATGCAAAAAATGCTTAAAAAACATTAATTTGCCATAAATGTATCTTTTAGAAAAAAACTGAACGTGATCGTACAAAAAAGTGAGATGAACAGTAATAAGTGATAATAGAAACTTGACATTTACAACTTGAAACATTACAATATTGTCTAATTACAATAAGAAAGATGACAAATACCTAATATTCAAATGATTAGAAAATTGTGGTATACTTTTATCTAACATCATAGAAATTCATACAGAGGTATATATGAATTGATTTAATTCAAGAACAGGGCTGCCTATTTGCCAACTTGAACTAACTGTTGGCAGCTGTGTGTTATTTAATTTTTTTATTTTGATTGGGGTTCCAACATTTTATTGAATATTAGGCCTTATAAAAACAAGGCTAAAATTAATGTATTTTTCAACCACCCCCCTATCTGTTATTAACCAATTCTGTTAAAGATTTTAGCTAATGATGAATTGGGCTTTCTGACACTATGAAATATGAAACAATTGTGAATGTGCTAGAAAACTGTAAAAAGCCATAACAATATTTCACCAAAACGCCAAACATCAACAAAAAGCCTAATAACACAATATCTAAACCATCCAATGACAAAACCAGAAAAGCAGATCTGCTGGACTGGGGTGGCACCATTTTGGTTGTTGCATCATGGATAATTCAATAAATTGAATATTTTGTTTAATTACCTGTTTTATGTGTAGTAGACCCTCTTAAGGTAAAATGATTCTCATGCAATTGGACTACCATAACAGTCTGTTTGCCATCTAGCATTTACATACATGTAGTTCTATGTAATAAATTTTTAGCTTGAAATTAAAAATTTAATAATTCCACTGTAAGCCTTTTTTTATCAGAAAATCAACAATTATTATGATATATAATATGTATAGTATTGGGATGATTCTTTTCAAACAGAATCTTGTAATTTTGATATGGCAATTTGACAACCTGGATGTAAAATGTCAATTTTGTTATATCCAACAGAGAGTTGAGAATTTATGTTCACCAAAGACCAAAATTTATTCTAGTTATTCCTTCTGGGGTTTTTTTCCCCCGCCATACATATCTGATTTAGGGTCACAGGTTAAATATGAATCCCTACATGCAACAACCAAATAAGGCAACACCATGTTTCTTGTGATTTTTACAACAGGTTCTACTATTGGGTGAAATATTAAGTTGTTCGATGACGTAAGAAGAAAAATACGGAGAGGGTCAACTACGACAAAAAACAGGGAAGAAAGAAAAACTTCAAACTTTTATTTTTGTCCATACCTGGTGCCACTTGCTTCTCTTTGAGGAATTCTTCTGATAAAAATAAACAAAATATTATATTAATGTATCATACATACAGCAGCATACATTACCAACTAATGGCATCAGTGGAGGTGGGGCAGTAAGGCCAATGAATGATTAACAAGAAATGATTCATGTACCCCACCCATCTTTGTTTACCAGTTGTTGTTAGCAAGTTCCGGCCTGAGGGGTGTGCAAACGCTGCTGATCCACAGGATCCGCCCCGCAACTGTGGGTGGCCCAAAAATTTCAGAGAGATTTAGGCTACCATTGACATCCTAACTCAGTATTTTCATATTTGGTTTGGCCTTTTCACTGCCCTCGCATATTTTATATCACGCAGAGTATATCCTGTACAGAGCCTGAATGTCCCAAGGACTTCGTCGAGTTGGCAATGGTAGTCATTGAGCATTCGGTCAAGGTTATATATTTCTCAAATAAGTAAAGGTCACATCGTTTCGTTTACTTTCATATTTCATTTGTGACGAGCAGATATTGAAAAATTCGCAACATAAACCATTTGGTTCGGTATCATATTTTGTATGCAGTATATCTTATGGAAAAAATGATTTTTTGTTAAATCCGCTGCCTGTCATTTCTCTTGACCTTGAGAGGTTTCTGAAACCCAGATCGATAGCTGACAGGATATTTCTTTAGTTTCCGAAATATATAGGCTACTTCTATGGCATTACAGAATGTATTATTGGTTAGTTTCACTTAAAAATCCCTATTTCATTCTTCAGCTAACCTAAACCCAATTATAACCATTCAATGTAAATTTTTACACTCACTAGATAGTACATGCGCCCACGCAATACCTTTCCCGCCTTATTCCGATCGTCCAGTAATTAGGCAGTGTTCACTTAGGGGGCGTTTAAAGCTGTATTATTAGCTCCCACAGCAAACGGATAACCAATGCCCATATGTGTTCTTGCTTGTAAAAATAGCCTACCACAGTTATAATTAACACTAATTAGCCCTAGTCAAAGTACTGAACTAGGGAGCTTGAATTGTTATTTAAAGCAAAGATCTCGACCTATACACACCCAAGGCAGTGTTCCATTGGAAATTATAGATAATTCCAAATTTGAAAGATAATTGGCAGTTTGAAGGAGGAACCCAATTAGTTTAAGTTTCTTTATACAAGCATATATTATTACTAGCAACTATATTTGTATTTAAACAGTAAAAGATCGATCAAATTTTGTTATTTGTAAATAAATAACCTTGTGCTTTGAAAACCTCGTGACTACAATGGCTGGTTAAAATTTATAAAATTAAATGCCCCATGGTTAAGCTCAGCAATTTTTGTAGAATATCACCTTATCTTTGGCCATCGACATTTAAAAAATGTTGGTTCCCGGGTTTGTTTGTTTTTTCTCATAATCCAAAATTAAAGCAAAAACGTCACGATGTACATGTAGAATGGTCCTTTAATTTGGACATACTTATTTAAAGGCGACTTCTCATAAATCCGAAATTATAGCAAAGACCTATAGATTATGATAAGTGACCAAACTCTACCCCAACAATCGGGGTCAGATTAAAGCTGTTTGGAGGGAGGGGGGGGGCTGTGCTTCAAACAGGAGCCCCAATATTAAAAGTGCCCCCAAATTAGTTCTAAAAAATTGTACCCTAAATAAATATGTGATTTATTATGTTGTATATGTTTGTGCCAAACAAATCTATCTTAAATACATTTTGCATTTGTGGGAGTGTGACGGACAATGACCAGAATATGCCTCTTTTCCACTGCAGATGCAAGGACCCCGGCGAAATTTTCAGCTGTAGACCCCCTGTAATCTTAATGCGACCCTGCCATTAATCCATCTGTAATGAAATATATTAGGGCTTAAAATCCTTAGACAAGAGCATTGGTGGCAACGCGGACAAGACTCTCGCCATTTACTTTTTAGAACCAGGAACAATTCCTTTGGATGAAATTTTACCTTGGACGCTACCCTCGTCTTTAGGAAACGAGATCGAATAGGCCTACTAATGGACTAAACCTACTATGTGGCTTCTCTGGCAAGTTTCTTAGGAAACACTTGTCTACCATATCACCCGTGTGGAAGCGGACGTATAACCCGATGAACGAACGAGCCCACTAATGAAGACGGGAACACGGTCTAACTCACTGAATCGCGGCTCCCTATTACCGATCTTTTTGTACTTAAAGGAGCTAAATCGCTAATATTTTGGACCTAGAAATTGCCACAAATGAGTCGCAACACATATAATGTAATATGAATTTATATAAACTGTTTTACATTCAATCGTGTTCGTTTTACTGTGAATTGTCATCAGTTATGTTCGGCGAAATACGCCAGAAGTCTCAACCGCTAGTCAGTTTCTATCGTCTGGTTATTCCAGTCAACACCGATATTATTTATTGCGCATGCTCTCCAAATAAGAATATGATATTACCGTTCGACATGACTTGTGGAATATGCCTAGCCTCATTCTTTGAGCACCTTGTTACAAATGGCGCTGAAACGCATTATGGTACACGATTCGTATACCAATGGTAAAATGTTTATTTTGTCTTAAAAATATTGGATATCAGAAGCCCATCTTTTCCAGGTAAGATCACAACACCAATGCTGATTTAAATTGCAAAAAAATTCGTGTTTTCAATGTCGAAGATTTTGGATGATATTGAGTTACGGACTTAGCTACTTTAAGTACATAAATAGTAGAGACAGGTAGATGGATGGAAGAAGAACTAGCTGAACATGTGTTAATAGCATCACATGAGTGTAACACGCTGTAACTATTTAAAGAGACATAGAGAAAGAGAGACGATATATAATAATGCTGAGTGGGCGAGTTAAGAGATAATACGACGTCATGTTTATTATTAGTAGCTTCAGTTAATCAGCTACATCTGTTATCCTTCACTTATTTAATTCTTCTAGTTGATGACTTGAATAAACACGCCATACATTCTTAAAATACACAAATATCTATATACATACACTCGATTACAGGTAAAACGGTATATACAGATACAGGTACAACTCTAGTAGGGGGCATCTATACACTCTATTACAGGTAAAATACCTTTATATACAGATACAGGTAGAACACTACAAAGAGTTTTCTAATTCAGGTATGTTAGGCCTCGCAGAAAAAATAGTGTACACAAATATCTATATACGTACACTTGATTACAATTAAAACTTTATATACAAATACAGGTAAAACTATAGAAGGGGTCATCTATACACCCTATTACAGGTAAAATACCTTTACATACAGATACAGGTAGGATGTATATACATGTACACCCAGGTAGGGGTGTATAATACATGTATGTTGGGCCTCACAGAAAAAATAGTGTATTATACAAATACAACTATTTCTTAATACAGATTTCCCTCATACTAAATTCTAATATGCGATGCATTCTAAATACTAATATGCGATGCATATATCTATGCTAGCTTTGATAAAAATGTAGATATCTATAATGTTAACTGTAAGACATCTACAATGTGTGCTACATAATGTATAGGTTTCTTGTGAAACCTATAGAATACTTATATGCAATGTATAATGTTAGTTACGTTTTTTCTTGTAAAATATATTGTACCATTGGCAATGCCATTGGTTACAGATGTAGACACTGAGTACATGAGACCTAGGGTGCTAGTTATATCAAAACTTCATGCATATATTTTATGTCTTGGGTGCTCAAAACCTGATACATAGTATATTATTATGTATACTGTATGTCTAAAGAGTTATTCCAAAACCCTACAACAGTATAATTTATGTCTAGGGTGTTTGTTATAACAAAACCATATACATAGTAGATTTTATGTGTAAGGTCCTAGTTATATCAAAACTTGATACATGATAGATTTTATATCTAGGGTGCAAGTTATAACAAAACCTTATACATATTATAGTCCATTTTATGTTAAAGTGTTAGTTATATCAAAATTTGATACACAGTATATGTTATGTCTAGGGTGAAAGTTATTTCAAATCTTGACACATAGTATTTTATGTCTAGGATATTAGTTCTTGGGTATATTTTATATCTAGAGTGCTAGTTATATTAAAGCTTGATAATAGTATATTTTATGTCTAGTGTGTTAGTTATATCAAAACTTGATAATAGTATATTTTATGTCTAGGGTGCAATTTATATTAACACTTGATAATAGTATATTTTATATCTAGAGTGCTAGTTATATCAAAACCTAATACACACTATTTTATGTCTAGGGTGTTAGTTATATCAATACATAGTATATTTTATATCTAAAGTACATGTACCAGTTTATATCAAGGTTGATACAAAGGATTTTATAACACGATACATAGTAGAGTATTTTATAACTAGAATGCTACTTCTATATATAGCCTAATGACTAAATAACATACGATGCTCTATAACAGCTTCGAACCCAGTTCAGCGATGGCTTCATTTGATTATCATACTTAATGATAACCACGAACAATATTAACCATTAATTTTCAAATAAATCAAACATTGTGTAATGAAAAAAAGAGTTAAGTGTGATTTTAAAAATAGGTAGTGTGTTGATATAGAAGTAACAGTCGAGTCTATGTAATGAAAATAAAACATAGTTTTCATTTATAAACAGATTTATAATTTGGCATAGTGAAATTACTGTTTATGATTTATCTTATTCGTGACTTTTTGTGTAATTATTTACTTCAAAATGAAACGAGGTATTGTAAAAGACTAGTTTTAATTAGAAATATAGGGAACAGTTGACTTGTGTCAAATTTAAAGGCCAAATGTATAATTCGGAGCTCTCCTGTTTCAAAAATCGCACATATATGATATAATTTGATATATTTTATACAACATGTGTATCACGTGACTATTATTCCCACTGTTTTCAGTGACATGCATTATAGAAGCATATTATTTATGCATAAGTATAATTCGTAAGTTCTATATCTAGTCAATACAATTAACTGTATTGTGGTTTGAGGACATTACAAAATGAACTGATATTAACAAAATAAAA